CTTTCCACCTGCCCATTCGCTTGCGGGAAGCAGTGGCTACCTTCACATGGGAAATATCGTTTTTAAATAAGTATGCGCTGAATTCAAGGGAAGTGAAGCACGAACCGCGATCGGATATTAGACGTTTTGGTCTGCTGTAATAGCTGAAGTATTTATCGAGGCAGGCTATAACCTCCTTTGTGCTAGTTGAGTTAACTGGATATAGGCGAACAAATTTGGTGAACGCGTCAATCACGACAAGGACATGTTTGCGTTTTGCGGTTAAACATAGCAACTGTTTTTCTGGGTTCATCATCAGAAGCAGCAACGATTGACTCGGACTTATCAGCAGTTCCCGCTTTCGGGCAACGGCTAAGCGCGTCAACGTGAGTCATGTTTGCGCCACCTCTGTGTTGGATGGAGTAATTGTAGTTCTCCAATTCCAGAGCCCACCTAGCTATTCGCGGATTAAGCTGCTTTTTACTTAGCGTCACTGTGAGCGAGTTGCAATCCGTGATTATCTTAAAAGGGATTCCCTCTAAATAAACTCGAAAACGACGTAGTGCATATATAATGGACAGGGTCTCTAACTCAAAGCTGTGGTATTTTGCCTCGGCGTCTGTTGTGGCCTTCGAAAAATATGTAGCCGGGTGTAAACGACCGTCAGATTGTTTTTGGAGTACAGCAGATCCGAAACCTGCTGAGCTTGCATCGCAGTGTAGTTCGGTTTGTTTCTTAGGGTTGTAAATAGCAAGTACTGGTGCAGACGACAGTTTTCCCTTAAGCTCCTCAAAAGCCTGCAGGCACTCCTCCGTTAGTCCAAATCTAACACCTTCCCGTGTCAATCGTTGCAACGGTCTTGTAATTCTTGCAAAGTTCGGAATGAACTTTCTAAAGAACGAGAACAGGCCTAGGCAAGTTTTCAGTTCTTAGTAATTTTTTTGGGAGCCGATATTTACGGATCGCGTCTACATGCGCATCGCTGGGGCGTATACCCTCTGAACTAACGGAATATCCTAAATACTCAATAGAATTGAAACCAAACTTGCATTTGCTTAACCTAAGTTCCAGCCCCTTCTCCTTCATTCTTCTAAGGACTTTACCTAATAGATCTACGTGGACTTCGAAATCGGCTGTGGCTACAATGATAACATCCATATATACCATTATTGACCCATCATCGATTAAATCTTTGAAAATGTTGTGTACATATCGCTGGAATACCGCGGGCGCATTCTTTAATCCAAAGGGCATACGAACGTATTCGAACTGACCGTAAGGCGTGACGAAAGATGTATATTTGACGGAATCGGGTGCCATTTTCACGTGAAAGAACCCGTTCCGCAGGTCAAGTGTCGAGAAGAACCTTTTTTCGCCTAGATAATCGAGGCAGTCCTCGATTAGTGGAAGCAGGAAGTTGTCTCGTACCGTCAGTTTGTTCAGGGGGCGATAGTCAACGCAGTTGCGGATCTCACCGTTTTTCTTTTTAACTAATACAATCGCGGAAGCATAAGGGGAACCACTAGATCTAATTATATTTTTCTGCAATAATTCATCAGTTATTTTCCTCAATTCAACTTTTTCATAATGCGACAGTCTTCTGGGTGCCGAATGGAATGGTTTGTCATGAAGCAACTTTATTTGCATCTCGTAACTGTATGGTTTTAATTTGATATCTTCTGATTTCAAATAGTTACACTCGAAAGTTTTTTCTAAGGTGTCGATATCCTTTGCTTCTAATCCCTGGTTTATGTTTACCTCAGTTACGCAAGCACTTAGTTCTCCTGAGTTAACCTCATCAAAAAATTTATCGAAGGGGCATAGGCCTTCGCTACAGGACCCCTGAGACATCGCGTCAGCTTTTGATTCATTCACATAGTCTATCTTGTTCTGATGTCCATTATCGTATGGTTCTGAATAACCCTTTTTACCCTGAACACTAGCAGTACCATTCAAGTTAAGCGCACAGAAATACGATTTTCCATATAGCAAATTATCTTTTGCTTCGTTTGAATGCTTTATGAAGTTCATGTTTGTTGTATTGCTCAGTGAGCACAAGTGAATGTTAAATTCTCTTAGAAAGTCTCGACCCAAAATTAGCGGAATTGTCATTGTATCATCAGGCACAATATTCAAAACAAGAGATTTTATTTTATTTTTGAACTTTATTTCAGTTTTTATTTTTCCATATGTTAGCAATCTATAACTTCCTAAACCTCGATAAATTGATTTTGCAGCGGTTCCGTCAACCTGAACTGGCACGGCGGACCTCCGAATAAAGCTAACCGGACTACCGGTATCGAAAAGAGACATAATCTTTAAATTCTGTGCATTTAACTTGCTTGGTCAAATAGGCGACACTTACCATATTCATAGACCCCAACTGTTGGTAACAATAGTCTTCATCCCTGTTGTCGATTACTGCGGCTCTGCTCTTCTTTAGTGCTAGATTCTTCTTCGGATAGGTGCAGATTCGGTGGTCATGGCCCATCTTCCAGCAACGAAAGCAGCTTCCATCAGGCCTTTTCTCGTATGGCATTTGCTTTGGAAGTGCCCCATGCGAGTGCAGTTGAAGCACCGTACCTCGGCGACTTCGGCTTCTTCAGGTTTGGGCGTGCTTGACTTTGTTGGCTTTGATTTGGTAGCAGCCTCTCGGTTATATAGCCGACAAGAGCGGCGTCGTTCATACAAATCCAACGACTCCTTAAAATCTTTCATTGTTCGGGCATTCATTAGTAGATAGGCCTCGGGCGAGTTGTCTTGCAATCCTTCTACAATAAAGTTGATCAGCTCGAATTCATCGACATAGTCGCATCGGGCAGCGATGTTTTCCATCTCCAAAACGTATCGCCGAACGCTGCACTCTTTGTCCCATTTATGGTTAGCCAACGCCTTGTAGACTTCGTTGCGGCTCACCACTCGACCGAATTCGGTGATCAAAAGCACATCTCTGGTTAGCAATAGCTTCGCGTCTCCGGTGATGGTGTTGCACAGACACGTATACCTAAAGATGTCATCAGCGTTCACCATCTGCATGACTCTTTCGCAGTTGCGTATGAAGTCATGCACACTGTATGCTCTGTTCTCACCATCAAATTTCGTAATGGTTGAGCATACCGAACGCGAAAGGTCAGACGGCTTGACATGTTGGACCAGATGGACCCGACGGCGCTATCGTAATTTGTTTCTTGGCACTCGCGCCTCAAATTGGCAACGGACTTTTGCAGCAGCAGTAATTCTTGTTCCTTTTGTAGGATTGCTATTTTGCGATCTAAGTCAGTTTCGCTGATCTCGAGTTTCTTGCTTGGGTCGAGGGTATGTTCGACCACATTAATGTTAGTAGCGGCTGCGGTTTCGCTGTCAGCGTCGTTGTTCACAGCGGTAGCAGCGGCGATGGAGTGCGCATTTACGGTTTTAGTGGCGTCTTTGTTGGTAGCGGCGGTAGTGGCATCTTTGCTAACTTCAGTGGCGGCGGTGGATTCTTTAGTAATAACAGCGGCGGTGGTGACATCTCCGTTAATAGCAACGGCGGTATTGGCATCTTTGTCAATAGCTGCGGTGGTGGTTAAGTCTTCGTACGTTTTGAAGATTTTAGTGGCATCGGTGTGATAGGCAGCGCCAGTATTTGCAGCGCCAGCAGTGATCTCGGCAATATTAATCTCCTGGCCATCGATTTTAATCGGGTCGCGGAAGGTAGCTTCCTTTTGTACGGCAAACAATGAGCGCGTAACTGGTCTGCCTCCGACGGAATTAGGCATCTTGCTTAACTGTTCCAAGTTGAAGGTGGGCTGGGTGACCCCACATCTGAGCTTTAAAAGGACCAGCTTTAGTTTTAAGCAGTTTATTATTTTGTAACTCGCGGACTGGCACTTGTGTACCCTTCGGTTTCTTTTTCTTTTCTGCTTTTTTCGTTCCACTTTACTCGCTACTTAGTGGGCGCATCAATGTATTTTAAAAGCCTTCATCTGATTGGCTATCACCCATCTGGTGACATAAAATACAATGTTGCCACAGTTGCATTTTTTAGCTTTACTTGCTAAGCTAATCTTATGCTATGACACATGACGTGTCATCACCCCATTGGCTAATCGCTTCACTCGCTACTTGTAAGGTGGCGTTGCCACACTCTTAATTTAGTACAATTTAATTCTTATCTGCTATGACATCTCAGTTCATCGAGTCGCCAGATGGCCGCAAAAGCATTCTACTCATAAAAGCGACTATTTGATTAGACAACTAGTCATTTATAGTAAGTGTGGCCACATTCGAGTTTCGGCAGATTACATTATAAAAGCCGTATTCATGAACCTATTTTGTTAATACACATTCGAATGATGTTTTTTTTTTACTTTTCGCTTTTGGTTTCCATGTACTTACTATTGGGGGATCAAAATTTTCGCGTGAATGTTTTTTTTTCGGGCGAAACTCAGGATAAGGAAGATTACATACATAAAATGATAGCCATTTTCGGTTTTCGGACAAACTCCGAAATTGTCGGAAGTCATTTTATAGGCTACTGGAAAACACGCTGGTGGCGCTGGAGTAGAGTTACTTATAAAAGTCGTATTTATTAACAGGTTTCGTTCAAATTCGCAGCGTGACTACCTGTATGATGACAAATTCCTTTGCTAAAAATGGACCTGCTGGAGATTAGGTATTTAGAAAGTCTGTATTTTTTTATCAGATTGGAATTCATAATTTTGTATTCTTTTCATGACAAGCAAAGGTTTTGCAGAAAAGGGACCCAATGGATGACGCTGCACCCTAAATATATGGAAACCCCCACGGGGTTTGTTTATCTTAGACGAATTTATTTTAAAGATGGCTAAATCAAAGATGCGTTTAAGTATGCATATAAAGACACGTGAGGTTTATCAATGGCTTCATTTGAACGATATTCATGAGATCACACGACTCATTTATCCAATGTACGCGAAAACTTTTCATCCTGTGGGGCAGCGAGGTTTCTTGGCCTTCCTATAATTGAAAACGCTCATCTGTGCTGTTGAGTTTCCATATAAGGACTTTTATTGGCTTACATGGTACACCGGACCAATGCTGAAGTTGCAGGATCATAGAAGAATATTACGCACGCTTGGTAGAGATCTCACAGGCTGAAATAACACCACAGGTAAAACGCATTACATCGAAAGGGATTAGTATTCCATATGGAATCACAGCGCTACTATTCTTGGCATATGTGTGAGGAGGATTCCGTTTTCTAGTCGTTTCAATTTAAACTAAAAATTTTTACTTTACAGACCGCTTGTGCTTTTAAACGCTATTTTTGAATTGGCCAACGCAAAAGATCTGATTAGGCGCCGCGAAGAAAGCGGGCATTTGCTAGTACTCTTATATGATATGATTCAAGATTAATTGCAACAAATCGATTTCTTGCCCGTTCGTCGTAATACAGTCTAATGAAGGTAACATTACTTAAAATTGTTTTAAACCTAGAACTATTATATATTAGGTGCAATCCCGTATTCCTCGGACTTGGACTAGTTAAACTGTCAAAAAATAAAAATTCGCTCAGAGCGAGAGAGTAACATTGAAAAGTACGGGATCGCTTTCAAGTAAAAAATGGTAACTTCTGTCAAGTTCAACATAACCTCCAAATTTTGGTTGTAAATTTTTGCTTATTTTGTATGTAAACACACTCAGCTCATACATGTAAATAACCAAAAATACTTTCAAATTCATTAGAATCCACTTAAACAAGTAATGAAATACTTTTCAACATGAATTAGCAGAGTGCACTTTTCTTTTGTTTACAATTTGGTTGCCAAACACACTACAGCTGATCGTTTGACACATTTACCAGAATTTACCAGCAAAAAATTCTCGACTAAAACTGGTAACTTCTGACAGAGATAGAACCGTATTTACTCTCTTTTTTGTCCTCTCAATAGTCAGAGAACCGAGTACGGGATCAATTTCCAGTAAAGTCTGACTGATTCTGACTATACCTGACTAGTCCGGACCCGTACGGGATCGCAACTATTTATAAAATTTACAAATTGCTGATAGTATTTGCAAGCTTGTTGAAAACCTCGGCGCAAGCTTTCAATCCTTCCCCCATTGCAGTCATAGCCTGCGCAATCGAAAAGGTTGCCTCCACCTGTCTGACGTTGTTTTCTGCCAGCATCTATTGATACGAAATTTCATTAATTAATTTCCGCAAAGTTTTTATAATGATATAATAACCTTCATAGCTTCAGCTTGCTTTTGAGCGATTTCCAGAAATTTATTCTGGATATCGCTCTCCTTTTCCGCACGTTTCCTGTTTAAGTTTCTAGGTATATCGGGGAATCGAATATCAGTGCCGATGCTATCTTCAGATAGCGGCACCATACCTTCAATGTCTATGTCGTCGCCGTCCTCCATAGCTAGCTGTAAGTCCTAATAATAAAAGAAAAAATATTAATGACTCACTTTAAATACTCTTATAGAACCTTAACCTCTTCTAAAGGCATATTTTCGAACACCGACTCGTTGCCGTCGATGTAGCTGCTCCCAATGAGAGCAACCACGCGCCTCTCCAGCTTCGTCATGGGCGCCTGATCGTCGGGCATGTATCCGGTTAGAGCATGTTTCCTCTTCCGGTCGCGCACACGTATGCTAGTACGGCTTTTCAAATCCCGCCAGACCTTAAAATAAAAATATATATAAAATTATTTATTTTTTATTTATTTATTTATTTAGTTAGCCAATGAATACAATAAATATCTTATAGGCTAAGTGGAATAGAATATAATACAATCATTCGTAAAATAAAAATAAGAGAATAAACTACTTACAAAAAAGATTCAGATAATATTTCCTGCATACAAAGCCTTAAAACGCCAACATGGAAAAACTCGGGATACCGTAGAGGTCTGGCAGGTATGTTAAAGAAAATCTCCTCAAGGAGGACGAGAAAATCTACAACATCACGAACGACGTCGAAGACGAAAGACACAAGACAAAATTGTTCTCCTGCTCTGCAGGGATTTTAGATTGATCAGTAGACAACTCGATTCATAGGCGGGAACAAATTAAAACAAATGTGAAACTTTATGGTAATGTTAGACAGGGGTGTCAGAATATACCTAAGCATTCCATCATTTTTGACTGAAAAAAAGGAAAAGCACACCACGGCCAAAAATTTCGCGCGATATAGGAAAGAAAAAAGGATAATAAAAGGATATCAAGGTTGGAAAAATTTTCTGATATTAATACATTTCATTCGTTCAAGGAACTTACACTCGTATGATGAACTACATATCCTAAACTAATCAAATTAATTATCAACAAGATCACATGTTGCCATCTTCGCGGACTTCCCCACCACCATCTTCAGCGTTGGCATAATTTTTGGTAAAATATTTGTCTTTTGCAGCAATTTGGCGAAGTAGTTCTGGGCTTATTGTTAAAATGTCGTCGAAGCCTACTCATCAATATTTCCTCCCATTTCGGAGCATTCTCAAGCATACTACTAGTAGGCCCGGGTAGACGTTGCACAGTGAGACGTCCCCATATAAGCTGCGGCGTTGTTCGGCACTTAGAAATGAAGAAATGTGGAATATGGCAAAATTCAACGCGCTACAACGCCCACAGCTTTTGTGGGCGGAAATAGTATATGTTATCCGATTTTGATGAAATTCAGAGCATATGCTGGCTTTAACGAGTGTTTAGGCCTTAAGCCTAAATATTTCCAAAAGGTAATGCACCACCCTAATGTGTCATTCACATATGTGTACATTTATGCAAAATATATTACACTGTACGGCAAAATCAATTTATTTTCTGGGTATTGGACCAAACCAATTTTTTTTTAAGAGATTGAGTCATAGGTAAAAAAGTAATTTCTCCGTTTTTTGAAGTTAGCCTCCGAAATCGAGATATGGGCCTTCGAAGTTCGAAATAGGACCTTTGGGAAAAAATATATTTAATTATTGCATATAAAGAACTAAAAACCTAAACATATAGGCGTAATCCTCCTTTTGCTCTTATTTAATTGGTATATAACCTTTTTTGTGCAAACTTATATTACAGGTGCTATAAGGGGTCAAAGTGCAGGTCTTCGAAAAATTAAATTTCTTTATATTTTGAACGGTTTCGAAATGATTTTTAAAAAATGTATATCGTTGTAAAAGTGATTAAACCCCCTTTCTTTCGATATGCATATTTGTATATTTCGTATATACAAATTTTAGAAAAAACACATTTAAATGAAAAAATACCTTTTAAAAAAAAATATTTTAAACAACAAAATTACTAACCGATTTTTTAAAAATTGGGATCGTTGTAAAGACGATTAAATCTCATTTCTTCTGTTATGCATATTTGTATACTTCGTAGATAAAAATTTGAGAAAAAACACATTTAAAAAAGAAATATTTTAAACAAAAAAATTACTAACCGATTTTTAAAAGGTTGGTATCGTAGTAAAGGCTATTAAACTCCCTTTCTTCTGATATGCAAATAAGTATACTTCGTTATAAATGTTAAAAAAAACACACATTTAAATTAAAAGTACCTTTTTTTATAAAAAAAAAATATTTTAAACAGAAATACTAACCGATTTTTAAAAAATTGGTATCGTTGTAAGGGTGATTAAACCCCTTTCTTCTAAAATGCATATTTGTATACTTTGTATATAAATTTGAGAAAACCCACATTTTAAGGGACAAATAACTTTTTTTATAAAAAAAAAAATATTTTAAACAAAAAAAATTACCAACCGATTTTTAAACAATTGGTACCGTTGAAAAGGCGATTAAACCTCCTTTCTTCTATATGCATATTTGTATACTCCGTATATAAAAATTTGAGAAAAACACTTAAAAGGAAAAAATTCTATTTTTTTTCTTACTACGCTTAAAACACTATAAATTATTTGTTTTATTTAAATACGGTATTCAATTGTATTACTAATAAGTAATTTTTTTGTAAATCTTTTTTATATAAAAAATTGGTATTTTTTCCTTTTAAATGTTTTTTCTCCAATTTTTATATACGAAATATACAAATATGCATTTAGACGAAAGGGGGTTTAATCTCTTAACAATGCCAATTTTTTAAAAATCGGTGAGCATTTTTCTGTTTAAAATATTTTTTGATAAAAAAGTTATTTTTTCCTTTTAAGTGGTTTTTTCTAAAATTTTTATTCACGAACTATACAAATATGCATATCAGAAGAAAGGGGTTTAATCGCCATTACAACGATGCTAAGTTTTTAAAAATCAACTGGTAATTTTTTTGTTTAAAATATTTTTTTTAACACCCCACTACCCACTACTTTTTGGTCCATTTTTCATGCAATTATTGATATGAAATATTAATTTATGCACGCATCTATTTTTCTGTGCAAGATAATATACAGGGTGTCCCAGAACTCAACGTCAAGCCGAAACGGGGTGACAGGATTGATTGTAACCATCATGAGAAAAATCAGAAAAAATCCTATCCCATGCAGTTTGAAAATTATGGGCATTTAAGAAAAACCCAGAAATTTGGTCAAACTGTAACCATTTTTCGGTTATTTATTTATTTATTTATTAGTGAAACAATCCTAACACAACAAGGGTAAACCTTATAATTATTAGTGCTAGTCACGACAGATTACAATTTCCAATATAAGATTTGCTTAAATATTTTAGATTACAAGTATAACCAAAAGGAAACAATCAAGTAAAAACATACAAGAAAAACGAGAAAAGTACTTACGAATTAACATTATCTGACTTAGCGCTAATATACCTCCGAAGTTCGAATCTAAAGGTGTTCATGCTACTTATAGATATTAAATTTTGGGGAAGAGAATTCCAGAGTCGAGTCACCTGCACCAAGAACTGCCTTTCTGACGTCAGTGTTTTGTATCTAGCAGCGAGTAGTTTAGAGTTTCTCACGGATTTCGTGGCAGTTATTCTAAGGGCGAGATACCCTGGTACTTTCGAGTAGTAAATTTTATGCAAAAGTAAGAGGGATCTGAACTGAAGGAGCTTATCCAGGGACATGGCATAG